TAGATTTTCCACAGCACCAAAACTCAAAATGAGAAAACTTAAAAAGGGAAGAAAGCGTTGTTTCTGAGCGACTGTTTCTCAACAAAATTATGCAACTGTAAGAGTTTCTTCAGGGAGAACCTTAGTTGTAAAGAAAATGCTTGAGGTAGAGTATTAGTAGTGTTAACCTGAGATGAGTTAGAAAGCGTTGATTGCTGACGTGACTCTTCTAATTGACGCTGCTTAATTACAGACACCTGGAAGTTCAGGATGATTGTCCATATCAAGCCGAGAGTCAACTTTCCATTGCCTTCAACGATATCCTCTGGTCGGATATTCACTAATTTGATCTGAAAACAATTGGTTTCACAGTGCATTCAATCGAAAAGCCTTCTGAACAATTCCAGTATTAGGCTCTTCAGCTTTATCGCAACAAGAATCACTGGTTGTGCAATTACGGTAGTGACGATAGAATATATGAACAGGACCGAATCCACGACTTTGTTGGGGAATCTTTTCTAGAGTCAGTTTGGGCACATGATTCCCAGCCTAACCACCTTCGGAGAGGTTTAGGGGGATGCATTCTAAGCATTCTTGCAACCGTTCAGCGGAAATAGACCATATTTTGTGATGAATCCACGACCCCTACCTCGAATGCGAACCCGTTTTGGAGAATTTTTATGACGTGAACGACTCCTGTACATATAGGAGAGTGGAAGCTGACCCTGAGAGCTGTCAAGTGGGTGGGAAACAGTTTGTCTATGAAATTTGTGATTATTGTGCAAATGCTGAGCGCTGAGATGCTAGTCTAAGGGTGTAAGCTAACGAAAAAAAAACACTAACATTCTTTTTCTTGAGAAAATCAAGGCAGTACTGTACATTTTGAATCCTATGAAACCGAGTGTAGCCATTCTCACGTGGCTGAAAATGATTGATTTGAAAGAAACGGTCACAGAAAAACTGGCAGCATTCAACCTTAACTGCCCAAAACACCAAAAAAAATGCCAAAACTTCGCCTACGATATCTACGGCTTGATCACAAACATGACATTCGTTGACGGCGCCGGCACCACACTTCCGGCAGTATCGATAGAAACTAGCATCCCAGGGTTATTTGATGTTTCATCTGTTTCAATCATTTTCGACAGGGATGAAATTTGGTGCCAACTGCCGATTGGGCGCTACAATGTTTCCTAGAGCAGAATAAGCTCGCACTTTGCGATTATCTGAATCCCTGATTACATTCTAGCATTCATTCTTCGCGCCGGCGTCATTCAAATGCCAGACCAGCGCTGGCACCGATTTCTCCCCGTTACCTTTGCCATTAAGATCGGTACAAATCTGCATAGTAAGACAATTTGGCAAGTACAGTTTCACTTTTATCCAAGGCGTTGTTTGGCGTCAACGCCAACTTGGTGCAGACGTTTTTCCATCACACCTCTGGCAAACTTGCATTTGCGGTTAGTCGAGAATACTGATCGTTAACGTGACCTTCATTTTTCAGCGCTAGCACCATTAGCTCTCTACTAAGGCTGAGGGATGAAGGCAGCAATGATTCCCTCCCACGCTGTCTCAGCCATTGCAGAGCAGAATGATTGAAAATCCCTATGCCTTGCGGTGTGCCGAATAGAAGACAATGGAGTGCGTGATCAGGATGTCAAGCAACCCCATTATGTAAGCTTATTTTGATTCTGGTGATAAAGGTGGCAGCGCCAAATTGGCATCAAATGGCAGTGGCATTAAACTCGAGTGCTGCATTCGTAATCAGGACATCAAATTCTCCTACTATGCACAATTACATGAATCTTGTTGAGAAAGGTGGTGGTACCAAAATGGCGCCGTCACCACTCTGGCGACAAATCGGTCCGACTCGAGCAACGGATGTGCATATTTCGTGATCATGACACCAAATACCCACCCGTCCTCTAAACAAGAGTTCAGACAGACCTTTTCTCGATATTTTGAGGCAGTAGCAGTTAGAAAGTGCAAGGGAAATGTCTTCGAACGATGGAATAACTGAGAAATTTTCTTTCGTACTGATACTAAACCCACCAGTCGGTCCCCAGTGAGAACTTCGAGCAAAGCAATAAGTGAAAAACCGTCTCGTAAGTCGACAAAGAGATCATTTACTTTACAATCAGCCTGAAAATAAGAAAAAGTAACTATTAACTAGAAGAGACCGTGATGAACAGTAATGTAGCCAATCTTGTATGAAAGAGAACCGTTCGGAAAACATCACTGTTTTTCTCCTGCATATGGAAGACATTTCAGATGACATTGGGACAGAGCTACCTAGTCAGTACATGCAAAAACTATCTCGACGCGCGCGATAATTCCTAGGTAGTATACTTTGCTTATTGTGGCGCCTTTTTGTCCAGATCGATTTCATTTTTATCTACAAGCAGTGTAGGGAAGTGCCGTTGACCTCGCAACAGGGGATACTCACAGGGATACGAGTGAACGTGTTCATATTACCTGGGGACAGTAGCAATCAGGAGGGAGAATCGTTCAGAGAATCCCGTCAGGGAAGGGGGGGGGGTCGGGCTTCGGGTTGCTTCTAATTCCTGTGGGGGGGGGTCCTATGAGACAATGAAAAATTCCCAGAGCTGGCGGTAGACTTTTGCGGTCGTTTGATTTTACTTCGATTTTCCCGCTCCCTTGCGATCTCACCCCTCCTCCCCACCCTCCCCTTCAGCCCGATGGCCAATCCTTTCTCGGGAAAAATGGAACAGCTTCCGGAGAAGTAGTAGTATGTTGAGGAAAAGTCAGATGGTAGGTAGGATAGAAAAGGAGACTAAGGTCGTACCAAATGAGGAAATTAGGCGGAAGGGGAAGTTGTCGTGCTAACACCGCGCAGTAGTAGAAACAAAACAGTTTTGGAGTTCCCATTCTTGAAATTCTATGAAAAATTGCCCTACATCTTGAAATGGTATAGGACCAAGCGCTTCATAATGCTACTGCCCTCAATCTCATTTGGTGATACGGGAGCAAACATGAAAGGTCAGGAATCTGGTGCAGCAATGCCGCGCAGCACGCAAGTCGCTCGTCGTAACGCCTATTCGGCCGAACCTCAGATCTCCTGATCACAAGCTATGCCGCACTAGCCTGAGTAGCAGTGTTCTGTGCGCTTATGGACGCGGTCATCATGCTAGGCATAATTTGAAGTAAATGGACGAGTGCCGAAAGAGAAACATGCACTCATTGATACTCCCGTTTGTGAGCGCACATGAAAAGCGACAGCGTCCGTGATGCTGTACAGCGTTCCTGGTCGCTGGTATTCGGAATCTAAATACTAGCAGCGGTGCTGAATAGCGAGAAAACGGCGAAAGAACCAAGTGAAACGGTCAGAAAGCTGCGGAAAACCTTTCGTTCTTGATGACTCAAAAAGCAATTTCGGAGCGAAGCTTCGCCGTAGGCTATCCTGCGCCAATAAACTGCTATGGTAGATATGGCTGCATGTATGTACTCATGCACGCAGCACCGCGGCCCCTTCATATCAGTCCCTTCGCTTCATATGATCCCTGGACACGATCAGACAGAGTCAGAAGGTCAGATAGGTTAGAAGCGAAGACGTCAGAGTGGTCACCAGCTGAAGGCACTACGAGAACAACGATGGCATTGGCACGTGCTGAGAGGGCCTGACTGTCAAACGATAAGGAAAGCTTTGAGCTTTGAAGTCCTTGGCAAGCGACAGCAGCCTAAAAGAAAAGATGAATTGACATCATCGAGCAGGAACTCTCTGAACTGACTTCCTTGATAGAAGATGCACTGGATAGAAACAGATGGCCACGTCTAACAAGAGCAGCGGACCCTGCGATAGTGCGGAACTAACGCTGGGGAGAAGAAGAGGTAAAAAGCACGTAAAAGCTCAATGGTAGTAATGCAAAGAATCGATGCTTAAAGAATCGATGCTTTTCAGGAAAACTCATTATTGGTTTGAAAGGCACAAAAATGTAAGGCGCCTTATAATTGGTTCGAAAGGCACAGAAATTGTAAGTCCCACCTCCCAGATGTGGATCGCACTACTGACTGCTGTGCTCTACTGAGCTGGACAAAGTTCAGCTCCTCTGTAGGCGAGGCTTTGGAAATGATCCAGAATGGGCCAGCGATTCGAACAAAACAGGGGCTTCTGCTAACACCGTCACATGTCAAGCGCTTTATAATCGCTTAAGCAGTGCCTGTGCTGAAGTTAAAAAAAGATAGATTTTTGCCGATGGTTGACCAGTCCCTTTCTGCGCCAATCACTTTGCTTTCAGTTAGGGAAACAGTGGTAGACTGAGTGCGCTCTGATCAATGCAATGAATTGTTGGGCCAGGAATCTACGGGAAGGCGAATAAGCACAGGCGCCTTTCCCCGCACTTTTTCCTCACACCATATGTAGCACGTTAGCCATTTTGTCATATGCATTCCTCTTGCAGCACTTACCTATGCTTTCCAACGATTATTATACGTTTGTTATAATGCTGAAGAAGAAGAAGATTATACTTTTTTGTTATAATCACCGTGAAAGCGATCGCGTATCTTGGACAATATGAGAAGAGCTTAACCAAAGCTCGTGAAAGCTTCATTCCAAGCCAATCAGGACATCGCCCGTCAACAGAAAACGGAGATGTTATGGGTTAGAGGGGCACTTTGCACTTTGGCTAATTCCTTTGTCAGTAGCAGGTGCCACTTGAGTCTGTAAACTGTAAACTTCCGCGAAATCGTACAAGTGAGCCCTTTTGCACACAAAAATTCTGAATTCACAGGTCCTCACGAGAGAGCCTGTACGAGCTTAGCTGAGTACCACTTGGTGCCCCACAAAGAAGATGTGCACCTGAGAATAGTGGTAGGCACTGTAGACGTCTGTGAGCAAAGGTGTCATGTACGAGTACGGACCACGTGCAGCGAAGTGCTGATATACGCCGCGTGGAGGAAGTGTTATGATCAAACAGGGATAATTCTGCGATTAGACCTAGGCACACGGGTCAACGGATCGCAGGCTAACAGCTCTCAGAGTTCTAAGAATGAGAACACATAGGCACACTGCTTCTGGAAAATTCTCGCTTTCCTCAATGGGATATTTGCTACAAGGAGTGAGAATTTGTGTTCGAGTTTGAAGTTGAAGTTCAAGAAGTTTGAAAGAAAGGCAGGGCCAAATGGAAAAGGAAGGGTTCTCAGAGATGGCCTTTCAACATCGTTGAGATCCTGTTCACAAAGCAATGTTTTCCATGGCGTACATACATTGAAGCGTGACCTTTCCTTCTTCCCGAAAAAAAAGGTGGCCCGTCTTGCGTTAATCTCGCGTTTGAAGTACTACGTAATGACTGAGGATGGATAACTCGAACCTTCAGGAAAAGCGTAAAATTTGTTACTTAGGATCTATTTGAGTACACCGAATCGGAAACTCAAAAGGAAAAATGCACTCTTCTGAAAGGTAGCATTCCTATGCGTGCCCACGCTTCATAGCCACCTAAAACAAACGGCAGTGTTCTCATCGTTCCAAGCACATATTGGTTTTGGAGACCCAGGGAGGTGATAAAAGGCTTAATGAGTCCGGTAAGGAAACCGATCCGAAAATTATCCAGTGACCACGCGTGTGGGAGGTGCCACTATTCCAATTCCGTAGGCAGCGCTCAGACTTCGCGACAGCGTCGATCGCGTACGCTGTCGTCGATCGACGCAGTCGAAACATGCGCGATCGATCGCGTCGAATGAGCGACCGAAGCGTTGCCGTCGCGAAGTCTGAACGCTGCCTTTTGTGTGCTGAGATCAGTGTAAAATGTTTGCGAGGAAAAAAGCGGCAGTTACATGAATGCTTCTGGATGGCGACATGTTTGGTTTTTGTATAAGCTACCCAGGTGTTTAATCAGTTAAACCCCAAGAGTCTTCAGAAATGTTCGAAACAAGTTAGATTACAAAAATAAACGCCTTCTCCATGGTCAACACAAGAAGTCCGCTCATCAGCGCACGTTCTAGTTAGGCAGCGTTCAGACTTAACGCGCTTCCAAGCGCAGCAACACGCGTTGTTGCGCACCAAAAACATCAAAATCGATACTAATTCGCTTGGCTCGAAACCGCCTGGCCCCGGGCCACAGAGCTGTGACTTGTTGAAGCGCTTCAACGCGCTACAATTACAAACGCGCGCGGCACAATTGAACTATACTACCCCAAAAACTCAAAAAAATTTCTGCGCTTTGATGAAAGGGGTAATCAAGAGCCCTGATCACGAATATGACACCTTTTTTGGCGCTGGCGTCATTTGGCGCCACTGCGTACCAGTTTGTCGCCACCATCTTTCTCAGCAAAACTGATGAACCCTTATACGAAGGTGTTTAATTGAATCCTGAATCACGGATATGGGCATTTTTTTGACGTTCTACGCCACACCGTTTTTGGCCAGAATTGATAAACTTGCGTAATAGGATTGTTTTATGCCCTGGTATGAATACTGCAGCAATTTTTCGAAAGCAGCGCCATTAAACGCTGTGCTAAGGCTGAACCTGGTAGAAGAAGTGATTCCCATGCGATTCTCAGCCTTAGCAGAGCGCAAATGAATAGTAGTGTCCTCCATTAGCACCTGCGCCAAGAGTAAATGTTATATTCGTTACAAGGATGCCAAATAACCCCTTTTGGATTTCCATCGACGTTGGTGATTTCGGGTGTTTTGGCGCTCGCCTGTGACGCGGGTGCCTGGCGGTTTCGGGCCAAGCGAATGTGAATCTGGTTCAGGAGGTTAAGCTACACGTAGGGACGAGTTTTCATCGATATTGGTGATTTTAGGTGCGCAGCAACGCCTATTCAGTCGCAGGAACGCGTGTTCAAGCGCAGCAACGCGTGTTGCTGCGCTTGAAAGCTCGCCAAGCCTGGACGCTGCCTAAACGATCCCAGCGAACGGGAGAGCGAGGGGTCGCAGTTCTAATCGAGAAAATGTTTTGTTTGTGGACTTTTCTCCGTTTTTCCCGTTGCACGTGCGCCACATCCCTCCCCTCCCAATCGATGGCAGTTTCTGAAGAAAAAATGATGGGATTTTCGGAGAAAAACTGCGGAAAAGTGGTACGGAGTTGGGGAAAAATCAAGAAGACAGTAAGAAGCGTGGAGAGGGAGGTTCGCACCACGAGTGGAAATTTCGAGGCGTAAAGTCGAACTTTAGAAATTTTTCCATACGGCAGGAAGATAATCACGGCAACCGTTTCCAGATCCAGGATGATAATTCAATTCGCAAGTAACAAATTTGAACTATAGCGGAATAGTCGGCGCAGTTTGACGACGGAAGGGGGGGGGGCATTTTGTACTATCATTGCTTCCCTAGTTCCGGTTTACAAGTCTCACTCTGGCGAAACCTGTGAACTCTTGTGAAGCATCTAGCCATCATGGTAAAACCTGTCAACTCGAGAAGAGGCTGCCTAGATAGGCCGACACGTCGATGGGAAGTAGCAAAAGTGCAAAATGCCCCCCTCCCGTCGTCAAACTGCACCGAACAGGTCTTCA